CTCCGCGCGGAGTTATGTCGTTTAGGAACGTCATATGTCCGCGCGGAGTTATGTCGTTTTGGAACGTCATATCTCCGCGCGGAGTTATGTCGTTTTGGAACGTCATATCTCCGCGCGGAGTTAAGTCGTTTTGGAACGTCATAACTCCGCGCGGAGTTATGTCGTTTTGGAACGTCAGGATCAGTACTATCGATTGGCATTAAGAAAATGAAAATCCAAATTTTGACCCAAATCGACCAAAAAGCAAGGGGTTACATCACGTTTTTTTCCAAAATCGGGGTCAGTTTGAAAATCAAAACTTTTTTCATGATTTTTTTTGAATATCTCGAGTAAATATCGTCTGATTTCAAAATATTATACCCTTTTTAATTTGTGCGGATCCCTACTATCAATTGGCAATCAAACAAATTAAAATACAGTGGGTAAAAAAAGTTGTGGACAAAAAATCAACTCGTTTTTAACGACAACCGTTTTTTATGATTTTTTGGAATATCTTCTCCAAATAATGTCAGATTTTGAAATTTTATACCATTTTGGACTCGTAAGGATCAGTACTATCGATTGGCATTAAGAAAATGAAAATCCAAATTTTGACCCAAATCGACCAAATAGCAAGGGGTTACATCACGTTTTTTTCCAAAATCGGGGTCAGTTCGAAAATCAAAACTTTTTTCATGATTTTTTTTGAATATCTCGAGTAAATATCGTTTGATTTCAAAATGTTATACCTTTTTTAATTTGTACGGATCCCTACTATCAATTGGCAATCAAACAAATTAAAATTCAGTGGGTTAAAAAAAGTTGTGGACAAAAAACCGATTCGTTTTTAACGTCAACCCTCTTTAATGATTTTTTGGAATATCTTCTCCAAATAATGTCAGATTTTGAAATTTTATACCATTTTGGACTCGTAAGGATCAGTACTATCGATTGGCATTAAGAAAATGAAAATCCAAATTTTGACCCAAATCGACCAAATAGCAAGGGGTTACATCACGTTTTTTTCCAAAATCGGGGTCAGTTCGAAAATCAAAACTTTTTTCATGATTTTTTTTGAATATCTCGAGTAAATATCGTTTGATTTCAAAATGTTATACCTTTTTTAATTTGTACGGATCCCTACTATCAATTGGCAATCAAACAAAGTAAAATTCAGTGGGTTAAAAAAAGTTGTGGACAAAAAATGGATTCGTTTTTACGACAACCGTTTTTTATGATTTTTTGGAATATCTTCTCCAAATAATGTCAGATTTTGAAATTTAATACCATTTTGGACTCGTAAGGATCAGTACTATCGAGTGGCATTAAGAAAATGAAAATCCAAATTTTGACCCAAATCGACCAAAAAGCAAGGGGTTACATCACGTTTTTTTCCAAAATCGGGGTCAGTTCGAAAATCAAAACTTTTTTCATGATTTTTTTTGAATATCTCGAGTAAATATCATCTGATTTCAAAATGTTATACCTTTTTTAATTTGTACGGATACATACTATCAATTGGCAATTAAACAAATTAAAATTCAGTGGGTTAAAAAAAGTTGTGGACAAAAAATCAACTCGTTTTTAACGACAACCGTTTTTTATGATTTTTTGGAATATCTTCTCCAAATAATGTCAGATTTTGAAATTTTATACCATTTGGGACTCGTAAGGATCAGTACTATCGATTGGCATTAAGAAAATGAAAATCCAAATTTTGACCCAAATCGACCAAAAAGCAAGGGGTTACATCACGTTTTTTTCCAAAATCGGGGTCAGTTCGAAAATCAAAACTTTCTTCATGATTTTTTTTGAATATCTCGAGTAAATATCGTCTAATTTCAAAATGTTATACCTTTTTTAATTCGTACGGATCCCTACTATCAATTGGCAATCAAACAAATTAAAATTCAGTGGGTTAAAAAAAGTTGTGGACAAAAAATCAACTCGTTTTTAACGACAACTCTTTTTTATGATTTTTTGGAATATCTTCTCCAAATAATGTCAGATTTTGAAATCGATTTGAATCGGTTTTTTGTCCACAACTTTTTTTAACCCACTGAATTTTAATTTGTTTGATTGCCAATTGATAGTAGGGATCCGTACAAATTAAAAAAGGTATAACATTTTGAAATCAAACGATATTTACTCGAGATATTCAAAAAAAATCATGAAAAAAGTTTTGATTTTCGAACTGACCCCGATTTTGGAAAAAAACGTGATGTAACCCCTTGCTATTTGGTCGATTTGGGTCAAAATTTGGATTTTCATTTTCTTAATGCCACTCGATAGTACTGATCCTTACGAGTCCAAAATGGTATAAAATTTCAAAATCTGACATTATTTGGAGAAGATATTCCAAAAAATCATAAAAAACGGTTGTCGTTAAAAACGAGTTGATTTTTTGTCCACAACTTTTTTTACCCACTGTATTTTAATTTGTTTGATTGCCAATTGATAGTAGGGATCCGTACGAATTAAAAAAGGTATAACATTTTGAAATCAGACGATATTTACTCGAGATATTAAAAAAAATCATGAAAAAAGTTTTAATTTTCGAACTGACCCCGATTTTGGAAAAAAACGTGATGTAACCCCTTGCTTTTTGGTCGATTTGGGTCAAAATTTGGATTTTCATTTTCTTAATGCCAATCGATAGTACTGATCCTTACGAGTCCAAAATGGTATAAAATTTCAAAATCAGACATTATTTGGATGAGATATTCCAAAAAATCATAAAAAAGGGTTGTCGTTAAAAATGAATCGATTTTTTGTCCACAACTTTTTTAACCCACTGAATTTTAATTTGTTTGATTGCCAATTGATAGTAGGGATCCGTACAAATTAAAAAAGGTATAACATTTTGAAATCAGACGATATTTAATCGAGATATTTAAAAAAAAAATCATGAAAAAAGTTTTAATTTTCGAACTGACCCCGATTTTGGAAAAAAACGTGATGGATTTTCATTTTCTTAATGCCAATCGATAATACTAATCTATAAAATGAAAGATACCTGATATTTACACTTGGCTATTCATCAAGTATCTCGTAACAGGTAACGAGTGAGATCTGATGTGAAGAGATTATATCTATGATGTTGAAGCCCAGTTGGCTTTGCTGTAGCAGTTTTCGTAATGAGATGCGAATATCTTTCTTTTGATATTCGCGACATTCTGTATATTCCTATTGATTATGAGCTGCAAATAGAATAAGCCGAAATGTGTGTGTTTTTTTTTTTGGGTTTTAAAGTTTATAATATTTATTTATTTATTAAATTCTTGTGATTAAAATCAATATATTGTTGTTGTGGTTTGCATAATTCTTGTAATCTATTCCATTTGTAATAGTTAGTTTGCTTTAAATGATTTAATAATAATTAATTGTATTTAAAATACATTTTATATGTTTGCATTATATCAGTTTTCCATACGAAAAAAAAAGAAAAAAAAAACGACGAAATACAGATTGAGAATTAAGAATAAATTGCCAGTTAGTCAACACAGCAACAGATACGCATCAAACGAGCTGTATCTGTCAGATACTTTTTGTTTTTCGTATATTTTAACATATACTTATTATTGTTTTATTTAATTCTTATGTGCGTGTGTTGCAAACAATTAAATTGTCATTTTGCTGAAATGATGTTCAAGTGTTATTGTTTCGATTTGATCTACAAATTGCTTCTTTTCTTCTGTTCTTCTTTTTTGTTTTTTGTTTATATACTTAGTTAGGAGCTAAGGCCCACAGATATAGCAGAGAATACACATATGTTTTACATGGGGCATTTAAATATGCTGTTGCCCTGCGTTCGATATACATTTGGTTAACGTTACGAAACTGAACAGAAACCCAACTTGAAATCATATATTACAATAAACATAGTTTGGATATTAAGGCCGATTTGAACGTATCCATAAACAAGGGATCTATTTATATGTATAGTACTTATATGCATACTGCTTTTTAAAGGTACGGCGTACTAAGTATGTTAACTTTGCTATTATTATAAGCAAAAAACAAATAAGCAAAAAAAAAAACACACTTTAATTAAGTCGAATATATGTATATATAGTTAATATATATATTTCGTTATGCAGCGGGTGCAGAAAATTAGGCTAATATATTGTATTAAATGATGTCTGGGTAAACACTTCAGCTAGTATCTAATATATATATATATATATATATATATATGTATATACATATATATATATATATATATATATATATATATATATAGTTAATAAGTTTTGGGGCTTCAATATGTGTATTTATGGGTTATATATGGAGTATTAATTAATCAATTAGACGAATTACTTAACATTCGAACATTTGTGACCGCTGTTCAGATTATGGCTCTTAACTTTATAGATATAGTTGGATCCTTGTGTAAGAGGGGTTCAGTAGGGGGTTGGGGGTAGTATATTGAAATTGGCTTTGGTAAAGCACCAAAATTCGTTTAGTTGATTTCTTATTCTTTCGCTCTGTTTGGCTTGCTCAAACAATCCTAACTACATTTCTTTATATGAATATATATAGTTGCATATATTTTTTATCTATTTGTATTTCCATCTCATTATCATCATCATCGTATCGCATCTCGTGTTATGTGTAAAATTGAGTTTTTGTTAAAAGCTTTCCCTCTTACCTTTATTTTATGTTTTCACATTGATGGCGTTTGCTTGCATATAAAAATAAATCTTCCTTTTTCTTTTTAAGACTATGCTGGAAAAAAAATTAAGCACACACACACAAGCACACACACACTCGCGCACACACATGTCATGTCATATACTATTTATATTTTTTGAAAAACCCAACTAATTAGGCGTATTTTCACTTTTATTCCTTTTTAGCCTATATACAAAATATTCCTGTGTCTCCCTCTATGTGTGTGTGTGTGTGTGTGTGTGTATGTGTGTGTGTGTGTGTGTACACTAATCGTAAAACTTCTAGAAAATTATGCGCTTTCTATGTGGTTTTCTTCTAAGATCTATCACGAGAGCAATGCATAAGTATCCATTCAAATGTTATATGCCAAAAATCGTTCACTTATTTCAATATCCTATTCAAAAAACAAAAAAAAAAGTAGTAGAGTAGTAAGTCGAAGAAACGTTAAAATTGTAGTTGAAAGTCTCAATTTGGATTGTAAATGGTTGGTTCTCTCTGCCAATCACATGGCGCGCAGTCCAGACCAATTGCTCGATGAAAGTAACGAGTGAATAGCAGCGAGTAAGATGCAACTTATTAGCTGTACTCGGAGCAAATGTCAAGCACTCGATCGATAAAAAGTAACCAGTAGCGAGTAAGATATTCGCTAAGCTAGCGAGTGAAAGTATTGAGTTGGGGATTAGTTTTGTTGCTAAACGCAAAAATAAACGCTTGATAAAAAGTAACGAGTAACGAATGGCAGCAGCGCATAAGATAGCGGAGCAACGACATAAGTTCGCACGACATATCTTCGTCATTCTACAAACGACATATTTCCGCGTGGATCATATTTCCGCAAACCGATCAAATGTAACGAGAGGGATACTCGATAAACGGGCGAGTGTTAACGAGTTGGGAGTTAGTTGTTCTTGAAACAGTTTCGAAATGCAAGAACAATCTTTCGTTGACAACTAACGAGTAACGAATGCGGGCCCATGTGAAGCAACGAGTGACAGTGACGAGTAGAAATTGGGTTAAAAAGTGCCTAGACTTGGAATATTCTGCTGCTCTTGCGAAATGAAATGTGCCATGATTGGCGATTGGCGATTGGCGTCTGGTGCACGGATCAGCTGAAACTGGGTATCTAATGAGGCAGTTACAGTTTTTACTTCTTCTTCATCTTATTATTATTATCATTATTATTGATTAACGTTTCGTATAGACGAGTATGTTTCAATTGCATATATGTGTGTATTGAGGTCTTTTGGAACGGTTCCGTTCGCTTCAATTTGGCCGGACACGCCCCCAAACCAGACAGACGGACAATTCGAGCTTTTGCCTAACATTTACCTAAGGTCCAAGCGCCCATTTGTATGGAGCCCATCAAACCGATTCAGCCACACATCCCATATGGATGTAGCTATATATTGGCCGTCGACTGTGGTCTTGTCTTGGGCATGCCCCTGGGCCGGACGCTAGGCGTCCGCGCGTGCCGTTAATAGAGCTCCGTATGATGACGCACTGGCGCTGGAATCTTGGACATGCCGCGCTCCCGTCGTGGCGACACAACCGCTCCACCTGCCGCCGCACCAGCTGCCGTCATATCACGCGAATTGTTGCTGCCACAGGAGGAGGCGGCCGAGCTGCGCTTGGATCGCGCCTTTGCCGGCGGCGAGCAGCTCTCGGACCGCTCCAGATTGCCATTGCTGTGCACCCACGCCGTGGTGAAGTCCTCGTAGACGGGCGTCTTCTTGCCCGGCCGCTGCTGCTGCTGCTGATTGCCGGCTGCGTAGCGTGAGAGCAGGGTCTTCATCTTCTCGAGAATCTGTGCATCGTTCTTGGCGCTGCTGGCCGCCTCGAGCAGCTGCTGAGCTAGCGGCGAGGAGGCGTGATTCTTTACCGGCGACGTGGTCAGCGAGCTGCTGCAGCCGCCGCGCACCCGCCGCCCATTGCTATCGTAAAGTATCTGTGAGGAGCGCGTCTTGATGCCGCGCTCGAACGGCGAAGGCGATGGCGATGTCGATGCTGATGCTGATGCCGATACGGATGGGCCTGTGCCTGCTGCTGGCGCCGGTGGCGCAAATGTCTCCGCACTGATCGTGGGCCGCTTCTTGCCGTTGGCGCCGTTGGGCGTGGCAGCGCTGCGTCCGCTCCAGGTGTTGGTCACATCACGCACCAGTGGCAGCTGCGAGGCCTTCGGCCGTGCCGCCTGCGTCTGAGCCTGTGGCGGGCGGCGCACCGAACGATAGACGGGCTGCTTACGATTGAAGCCAAGCGCCGTGGAACGCGTGCTTAGATCCTGAAGACTGCCGCCGGCATTGCTGCCGCAGGTGCTATTGTCGATGCTGCGCCGGCGGCGTCGTTGCGCCAGCGGGGAACGCGGTATCTTGCTGCCCAAAATGGGCGACGGAGCCACCAACTGACACGCCGTCTTGTTGTCCGGCTCTGGTAGCGGCGAGCTGGTCACCGTAATCTCATCGTCCGTTATGTAAACGCCGGACTGCTCGAACTTGTGGCCATGCCCCTCGTAGACGGCCTTGGGCTGCTTGGGCAGGGCCAGCACAGCGGGCAGCGACTGTGGCCCATCTAGCTCGCAGAGCGTATACTCCGGCTCCTCCTCGGCCACGGCATTGCACTTGATCTCCGCCTCCGTCTCCGGCTCCGCCTCGGGCTCATCTGTGGGTGAGATCTGCGAGTCGCTGGACGTTTGATCGAGACGCGCTGCAAAAACAAAGTACAAAATAAGAATCTGTGAGCCTGGAGCTGAGCCCAAGACGGACGGCATCCCCGCCTACCATTCGTTTCAGCGTCCTCCATGGAGGCCTGACTGTGCAGGGACTCGCGCTTCTGTGCATTCGATTGGATGACGCCCAGGCTGCGGTAGCCCTCGTCGCTGATCTCGCTACCATTGTCGCTGATATTCTCAAATTTGCTGCTCTGCTCCGGCTGTCCGGCAACCGTGCCTGTCGATGCGGCTGCCGATGTGGCAACGCCGCTGCCGCTGCTGCCGTTCATCTCCTCCAGATTGCTCTCAGCGCTGGCCAGGACGGGCAGCGTCTTATAGGAGTCCAGCGAGCTCTGTTGCTTGCGCACATCGTTCAGCCGTCGCTGGCTGGGCGACATCGAGCGCCTGGCCGGGCGCGGCGAGCCGGGCAGGGGCTCCGCGCTGCCATTGATCTGGTTCAAGAATTTGCGCTGCGGCGTTGGACTGCGACTGCGATGCTTGACAGCGGCTGCAGCAGCGGCTGCGCTGGGCGACAAGCTGGCGTTGTGTGTGCTGCTGACGACTGTTCCAGCGGCTGGCGACACTGCTCCGGAACTGGAACCGGAACCGGAACCCGCTCCGGCTGCTGACAGAACACGCCGTGCTGCGGGTGGTGAGCTGCAAGAATTCGATTTGGGCATCAGCATATGGAAAGCAAGCGGATTTCGAACTGAATCCAAATGCAGGAGGTCACTTAAAACCAGTAGGAGCTTCTAGTTGGGAGCTCTCGACTAGGGGATACCCTGAACCCTCTTCTTTCAACATCAAATGCATATATATATTCTATTTTAGAAGCTATATGTCAAGTTTGGGGACTCCAGCTCTTATTATTTACCAAAATTGCCCAAAAAACAGCATATCGATATCGATTTTTATCGATTGCTTGGAAACGGAGTAAGTTATCGATTATCGGAAACAACCTCGATCGAAAAAAAACCTCTTATCTCTTGAGAGTGTATTGTAGTCTTTGACCATTAAAGTTGTATTAAAACATTTTACGAGTGAGCTAAGAGATTAAGTCGAGTACGAATGTAGTTAATTGAAGGAAAATAAACATACTTAAACATATTTCTAAATGCTTTTCTTGTTCGATATTTGTCCCTGTAAGCATGTTAAGTTGGCCGCGCTCAGAATTAACAGCTGTTAAGCTTATCAATAGCCTTGTTAAGTTGGCTGTGCCAGAGCATTGCATGAGTTAAACTAAAATTCATAAAACACAAAGTTGAATGCACGCGCCCATGCAAACAGCTATTGAAAGATATTATATTGCTGGGAAAAAAAGAAAATTAAACTACGAAGGCAAGACTGTATCTAAACAAGTGTTTTAGATGTATCTCAAGGACTCTGAGATGCGAGCTAAGAGCGCGAATAAGGAATTTTGAGTCGAGTAGAGGCTGATAAGCACAAGTTTGCCTTGTGGAGACTCATGAATATGAAATGAATGCATTTTACAAGTATCAACAACTAGACCATGCCAACACCTAGCCCCTACCACTCCGCCTCTACAGCTATTCGTGCGAGCTTGCCTAATGGAGTTCCTTAATGGCGCACTCCGCCTCCGTCTCAGCTGGCTTGATTCTGTGCCGCTGTCCATGAGACGGACTGTCTGTCTATTTTGTTGGTGCGTGTAAAGCGCTGGCGATTGGAGACACCATCATTATCCGGCTTTATGCATGCAATTAGCGGGGCGATAACAACTTAATGCATGGCACATAATGGGCTGCGTTTTCAATTGCAGGCGGAGTGGCGCGGCAGGCGTAGTGGAAGTGGAGCAAAGTGCTGTTTAGCTGGCGTTTAACCTGCTCCCCCGTCCATCGGAGACGGAAGATGAAACAGTTCGATTCACTTACCGTTCGTATATCACATGCGCCTTGTGCAGCTCAATGCCGTTGCCGGAATTGCCTGTGTTGCGGGTCATCAGACGTGCCTGGATCGAGCTGCGATGCTGGGCACGGCACCGGCAAGGATCATGCTTGTCCAGGTAATGGGAGAGCGTGTCCCAGCCGCCGCCCACGCGCACCATCACATGCGATCGTAGTATCTGCAGAGGAATGGAATATATGATTCGATTGGTTACTTGAACGCGGATATGGGAACAAGATGTCCGAAGAAGACACTATATGATGCATTATTTTGGTGTTTAGTTGATTAACATTTAGTTTCGTAAATTTAGCTGCAAGTTATCAGCAAGTTTAACTGGAAGTTAAGCCGTAGGTTTTGACGAAATATTAGATTGGAAAATTCAAAAGTTGTCCGAAAGTTTAGCCAAGATTTGAGTCTGAAATGTTAACCGATACGTTTGGCTACTATTTTAGCCGTATTCTCAAACTAAGGCTTTGCCAGCCGCTTGGCCGGAAGTTAAGTTAACCGTTTACCCAGCAGATTTGACTTACCCGCACAAAGATGAGCACTTTGGTGTCGCCAATGCGATATTTGCCCTCGGAGACGCGCACCATGGGAAACTGCGAGGGGCATGTACATTTCTCCACCAAATCTCTGACCTGCAAATATACCAAAATTTGTGTCAAATGTTGCATGCATGTATATTTTTTTATGGTTGTGTGTGTGTGTGTGTTCAGAGGGCGGGCAGCCAAAGGCTGACCCCGCAGGCCATTGCATAAGTTCAAGTCAAGAAGCCAACGACTATTTTGGAATCGGAATCCGCGCGGCGGCATCGCAATTCGCTTTCCACTGCATAAATTCACGCGCTGCCATTGTCCGAACAAATGATCAAACAAATGAGCGGAACAACCAAAACGAGCCAAAGACAACAACTCCGCGGCCCAGACCAGACCCAGGCCCAAACACAGAGAGAGACAAAGCCCAGAGCTGCAGTCAGGCCCCAGAGCAGAGCAACTGGCTCGCTTTGAATCGTGTCTGTAGGGAGTCGGACGGCGTTGCTTGGCTACTGTGTCGCTGCCTTTGACGGGCCTTTTTGCTGGGCTGCTCGCTTCCAGGCAACAGCGAGAGGTAGGTGGGGGGGAGAGATAGATGAGAGGGGGAAGGCGCAACAGCCAAAACGCATTTGCACCTTTGAACTTCGCTAGTTAGTTAGCCAGCCTGAAGCTGGCGCAGTTTGTCGAGTTGCATTCGTGGCCAAGTGGGAACTGTGCCACAGCTGCAATCCGTCCTCGCTGGACAGGGGTCTGGACAGGGGGGAATGGCGAGGGGTGGGCGTAGCTTGTGGCAAGACGACATCACAATAAATCTAACATGGCGATAAGCCAGCAAAATGATCTGGCAGTGGTGCGCAGATTTGCAAACGACAACGAACGGGCAACCTGGGAAGAGGGGTGAGTGGAAGGGGAAACGGCGTGACTGTGACGCATGCAAGATTAGACGGCGCTGTGATCCTGGTCTGGGCCATAAATTGCAAGCACAAGCAGCAGCAACAGCAACAACAACAGTAGCAACAACAGCTACAACAATAGTCACAGCAACAACAACAACAGCAACAGCAACAGCTATAGTAACAACAACAGCAACAACAATTGGCTGAGCAGCATCAATCGCAACAGCAACAACAAGAGGAGGCACAAGCACAGCAACAGCAGCAGCAACAGCAATAGTAAAAACAACAGCAACAACAATTGCCTGAGCAGCATCAATCGCAACAGCAACAGCAACGACAACAGCAGCAACAGCAACAACAACAGCAAAAACCACCACAGCAACAGTAACAACAATTGCCACAGCAGGATCAATCGCAACAGCAACAACAACAGCCACCTCGGCATCAATGGCAACAACAAGAGGAGGCACAAGCACTGCAACAACAGCAACAGCAATCGCAACAGCAACAACAACAATGTTGACGACGCGGACGTGCCAAACGGCAGCGACAAATGATTCGTGGCGTGGTTTGCAACAGTTGCTGCTGCTGTAGCTGCTGCTGTAGCTGTAGCTGTAGCTGTGACTGCTGCCGTGGTGGCACATCATTTGATTTTCGACAAGTTGTTGAGGCTATTTGCTGATTTGGCTGCCGCTGCTGCTGCTGCAAACAAATTGATTGGCTGACTGAGTTATCCGACCAGGCGACTCGGCGACTCGGCGACTTGGTCCGCCCGCCGGGCCGCTTTGTTGGCGTTGTGGTTTTTTCTGCTGTTGCCTGACAATGTTTTGGGCAGCATGTGGCGCTGCGTGTTAGCAAGCAAAGCGCCATGGCACGTTCATGTCCATGTTGCGTCCAATAAATGCGCAACGATTTATCCATCCATCCATCCATCCATCGAGCAGCTGTCTATCGTAAGCCGCGCTTCGTAGTCAATGTTGCTGGCGGCGTGAGGAAATGCTTGCATGGCTTTTCATTAGTTTTCCGATTTGCCTGGCTAACTGCTCCTCAATCCTTGGGCGCTCGCTGTCCACTGTCCGCTCTATGTTGTATGTTGCTGCTGCTGCATATTGCTGTCGCCGCATGTTGCTCGCAGTCACACTTGCAATTACCATTGACAATTGCGATTGCTGTAATTGTTGTTGGCACATCTGGCGCCAGCGGAAAACGATGCGAGTCCGAACGGAACGGAACGGGCGGGAATGGAACGCCTCGAACATCTTGTCAAATTAATTAACAATATGTTGAGGGCCCGTGACATAAGCGTTGCCAATTGCCAATCAGCATCATTGTTTGCCAAATACTTGACATGTTTGCCAGCGCTAACGATACATCGATTAATCGATAGGCGCGCCAATATCGATAAGTGCACTAAAATGGCTTCGTTAATAGAAGATTTTAGTGATTGGCGCATAGGAAACATACTTAACTGATCTAAGACAAATTTGAAATGTTTGAAAGTATTCGATAGACTGTTTACCCAATTATCGATCAATTTCGATTATTATTATAAGGGCTTTTTGTCATTCGTTTGTTTAGCTTTCCCTTCAATTAATAAATTACGATTATTAGAACTGGATTCTTTGGAAACATGAATTGATCTATCTAACGATATATTTTTCTATGGCTCAACCCGTGAGCAATCAATATTTTCCGATAACTCTTAACTTTCCTCACAATCGATTAATTTCGACTATTAGAACAGGTTTCTTTGGACACATAAAGTAAATATAATTTATATATCTCCAAAGTAATCGATAGCTTTGTTGATTGGCGCAATAATTGTTTAAACATTTCAATTCGATAAACATGCTCGAGATCTCACTCACCAATAATATTAAGAAACAAATTGAACAGTTGAAGCTCATGCATGGCTTTTGGCGAACAAAGATCACGACTTAATGCAAGTAGATTATTTTTGGATAGATAATACATATCCGTTTTTAGGCAAAAGTCGACACAAAATCGTCTAAGCAATTATCCATTGCATTTGTTTTTCGACTCGACTCGACTTGTTGTTGTTGTTGTTTGCTTTTGATTTGTTTTGCCCAAGTTTGAAACTGGAAAACTTAGCCGTGGCTAAAAATGGACATGAGAAAAGTAGCTACAACAACCAACAACGACAACAATAACAAAAAGTCGTGAGGTCCGCTGCCACAAAGAAAAAAAAAAAACGAAACAAAAATAAATAAAAGAGAAAACACAGCGCCACGTCAAGAAAACCTAAAGAAAGGCAGCAGCAGCAGGAAAAATCAGCTGGAAAATGACATCAACAGCAATCGCAATTAGGGCCGAGAGCTGGGCAGGCTTTGGCCTGAGCCATGGCTTGAGCCGTGGCTTGGGGCATGCCCCACTTACTTACCATTTCGTCGAGACTCTTCAGATCGTTCGTTATGATCTGGGGCTGTGGTCCGTACATAAGCATCGGATCCTTGTCGTGCTCGTCCTCGTTCTCGGTGTCGCTGTCATAGAGATCCGTCTCGATGGCGGCACACTCTGAGCCGATCGGCGGCGTCTCCGTTTGGGTGCCGCTCTCCGAGCAGCCGTTGTTTGTCTGTGTGCCGCAGCCGACGCCGTTCGCCTTGTTATCGGCCGCGATTTCGCGATCAATTTGTCGCTCCATTTGTACCAGCATCGGGGCCAGCATGCCTATCAATAAATTTGCAAACATATCGATCAGTTAGGCTGATCGATAACATCGTGCTGTTGCACTTACCAAACTTGGCGCCACGCCTGGCTACCTCCAGCAGGCAGAGGATCACATGCTTCTCATTCTTGCGCATGATCAGATCGTCCGTTTCGAACAATAGGCACTCGATGATTTTAAGGCTCTTTCTGCAAAATGACAAATGAGAGTATTTAAGAGAATTTTAATCTGAAATGTGCTTATTTGGGGATTATAGCTAGCTATGCGAAAGATGTGCAGCTATGTAGAACCAGCTGTGATTTGTATGTTCTAGTTGGGTTAAGACTCACCTGCACCAGGTTATAAAATTGGAGACATTGTCGCGGGCAAAGAAGGTGCCGCTCTTGGCCGCGGGCAGATAATGCACATTGCCCAGGGCGAGTATCGGTCCGGCCAATCCGGAAGTCATTGAGCGTGTCATTGATTTGTTGCGCGCCTGTCGCCGGGCCAAATAGTCCTCTGCCGCTTGCCGCACATAATTTGCGTGCTGAAAACAAATTAAAGAGCGCAACAACAATAAATTAGACACAAAGGCGACAACAACAACAACAATCGCGCCGAGACGCATCGCAAGTGAAAGTCAAAAATATTTTGGCTTATTTTAAAGCGCGACAAATATCTAGAAAAAGTTTATTTTTAAAGAGTCACAAGAATTTAGCGCGGCATTTTTAGGCTGACGGCAACTGAACAGATCGCCAACGGGGCAGCTGCACCAGCTCTTCCCCCCCCCCCCCTCCTCTCCATCCCCTTCCACCAACAGCCACGCCCCTCCTCCCCACGGCCAGAGCAGGGTCTACGCGTCAGTTGGACTGATTGCAGCGAGCTGAGCGTTGGGCCACAAACTGCAACCAGGCCAGGGCACAGGAGCTGGCATCAGCCGAATGATGGCGCCGCAGCAATGTTATGCATAATTAATTAACACGCAGCCCAACCCCTATCCCCAACCCCCTACAACTGCCCGCCAAAGAGAAGAAAGATCTCAGAAAGACTCACTTTGGGGCACAGCTCACTTTTCAAATTGCAAACACTCGTCACTCATCAGTCATTTGGCCAGCACATAATTTGTGAATGGGCGGGCCTAGCTGAATATGTGGCACACATACTTTACATATTTGCCACTCAGCTACAATGTAGATCACTGCGATTCTGCTTGACAGGATCATCGAGCCACAACTAGTTGGGAATTATAAGGGAATAATAGGTGTGCCCGATTGAAAGTAATCCCATCTTTCAAATATGCAATCTGCCAGTATGTGGCAGACTGCAACTAGTTGGGAATGGCCTATAACTAGTTGAGAATTAAAAGGGTGTGCTTGATTGAAAGTTACTCGATCTTCTACATGCACAATCTGCCGGTATATGAACTAAGAACATCAATTGTTTCCTCACATAGTTGCACATTATAAGTGTGGATCAATGTAAGCTTATGACAGCAACTCTGCGCTATAACTAGTTGTGAATTATAAGCAAATAATGGGTGACTATCTGTGTAACATTTGAGATGTCACAGAATCAGAGAGCAAAAACTTGTTGCGAAGCCGTGACTACGAATATATGTATATAGAAATTTCTATAAAAGTACATATAATCTGTGAAATGGAAAACTCTATCCAAGGAAAACAGAAAACTTCAGTTGTTTCTATATGTTATATATGGCTAAGGCAGACTAAATATCGTAACTGCTTATTTCTTATCTGTCAAGTACAGCAAGGAGGAGACAAACATTTGAACTCTTTATATTACAGATCAAGAGTGTGTATATATATAGATCGAGAGGTCGGTCGGTTTTATGATTACATTTGACTATAAATGTACAAATTTTTAATTCTGATTTCCATTTCAAGAACTTGTTTTCTTCCAATGTATAATTATATATCTTTGTTATTCAATAATTTATTGGTAGAACACAAGTTCTTGGTCTAGTTAAGTAGTGAAACTTTGAAATCAAACCTTGAATTGCGATCGATAATTTCAACGACCTATAAGCTTCTCTCAATCGTGATATTTATCCATTTGTAAACACTTTTAATCCAGTTACAGGCCTGAAGATCAAGCTGTTTTTCAACACTGTCACACTTGTCGTTGTACGCCCCCGCATGCGGTCCGTTAGCAAAAAAAGCTGACGTCGCTTTTTGAGGTTATGTCATCAAGATTGGCGCGCGTCGCTTATTTAATGTTATGCGATCCGATCCGATCCGATCCGAGCCGTTCGATTTGAAGGCGCTGCTTGGCACGACGAAAGGCAACAACATGCAACAAATGGGAACGACGTGTCATGCATTTCCATTTCCATTTCCATTTGCATTTGCATAGATCATTCCATATTCATTTATGCACATTTTTGTAATAATTTAATATTTAAACAATTTCAATATTTCCCTCTCTCGTGTCGCTTATTATTTATTATTTATTTTTGTTTTCTTCTTTATTATTTTTTATGGCTATCTCCACAAACTGCATTCAAAGTGCTTTATTTGGTGTTTATTGTTTCACCGTTTCGTACGTATACCCTAAACCCAAACAAGGGCATCATCGCTGGCTGCTGACGTCTGATGATAAATACTGCAGGTGGGCGTGGCATTATAGCAATTTGCCTATTGTCATTAAATGGAATGCATCGCGCATGAGCAATTATATATGTATATACTTATAAATGTGAATACATATCGTTTGTTGCCGGCAAAAGTTGGCACTTCTGGAAAATAAACGAAATAAATGGGCAGCACTTAACATTCAATATTTCGACCAGGTGGTATCACTGATATGATTGTAGGGCATTAAGAAGTCGTGTCGGCTCCAGCAGACAGCAGCTGTTATCACAGGCAAAACTCGAGCCAGACACAGACAGAAGACGCCCACGATGCATTTTTGGCCCGAGGCGTTAAATAGGTCTGCATCTTCGCGCTGCGCTACCCACGGTTGGGCATTCGGCCTTGTGCACGCCAAATCACATTTAACATTTTATTGCCTCTAGACAATAATACAATATTGAGTTGAGTCAGTCTTTGGCTGTTTGGTAGCGCATCGCAGCTTCGGCTAGAACCGAGACCATAATTCAAATTCAAATCGAATTCGAAGCTGTGTGTGGTGCATGTGCCTTGACGTTAAACGCGCCTCGTTGCGGCTTCACTTGTTGTTGCTGTTGCAGTTGCCTCCACTAAGCTGCATCAGATTTTCACTTTCGAAATTGTTATTATGACATCACACAATCTCTCATGCTGCGCGGCACGTGCCAAAGTTTCTGTGATTTGTTTTGATTAAGCCAGTGTTGAACAACGATGGCACTCGATATGCAGCTATGCATTCAATGAAGCTGCGCTGCTCGGTTCCACTCCTGTTCAGGCCTCAAGCGGAGGAAGCCTTGACCTTTCGAGGCTAGATTTTAGTGTTGGGCAAATTTCTAAGGTGCGATGCACCTGCAGAGCCATGCTCACGAGATATGAGTACCAATCGATATTAGTGCTGGGCAACAATCCAGACAGCTAACCAACAGTATGACTACTTTTGTTGCGTTAATTTAATAAAGTATAAAGGATAGATATAAAGTATGCACTTGCCAAGGCTTTCCATCGACTGAATAGTGTTAAGCAATGGCGGTATTTATTATGGACCTATGCGCTTAGTAGAAATGAGCCGAGCCTGATTATTGCACCTATCGATATAAGTGTTGAGAAACTCTTGAAGGCGCATGCAACAAACCGTTCAGAATCCAGATTCCGGATTGTGTTATCGTCGCAAGTGCCGCATAGTTGTGTAAAGTTCACAAGCAGACTGGCTAGCAAATGAGGCAAAGTTTTCGACAGTTAAGTGTTGAACAACGTTGACATTTGATATACAGTTTTGCTCTTGCTAGAGATGAGTTCATCATCTGCACTCAAAATGGAACAATACTCGAATGCTAGCGAGGATTTCCGGGCTGTGCGCCACAATGTGGGCGGACAGCTTCCGCCGAGTGTGTTGACCAGAATCTCCACTGCAACATTTTAGATCAGTAATTTCATAGAATCTCCACTGCAACATTTTAGATCAGTAATTTCATAGAGCGAACGGCAAAAGATATGTCGATTACAAGATGCCGATCAGTATTAAGCCGAGCCAAGGCATATGCAAGTGCCAATTGCTGTTATGGCAGGCTCTCGAAAGCCAGATGAAAACAGTGTTGGGCAACGCACAATTTGATGCGCACCGGATGTGCCCTGGAACTTTTTGACAACGTCATAGCCGGCAGCCATATCCTTCCTTTTGAATTAAAACCCTTCGCAAGCTCACATCGTAACCGGCAAAAAGAATCCTTCCAATTTGAATTAATACCATTCACAAGCTCGAATCGTTCTCAAAAGTAAGTGCGAGAATGTTCTTAGCTTTTTGAACCTTCCATTGGAAATTCATTGCAATTTGTATGTTAATAATTTGTCAAAGGTAGCCGCTGCCTCAATATGAATCCATTCAAGGCTAGTGCCAATGAGGAGAATAACAATCAGTTGGTCGAGGCTCAGACGCTGTCCCGTGCAGCCCGAGCGATTCGCGCCTTCTACACAAATCCGACCATGGCCGCTTTGCTAGCTGCCATCGTTGCGGCCTCACAGGACGGGGAGGGCATCGTGCGTCAGCCGCAGCTTTCGATTGGCCAATATATGGACTTCTTTATGCGCCATTGCATCCAGCTGCCGGCCGCCCATGTGCTCTCCCGCACGGTGCATGTGAATGCGACCGTTTTCCTAACACATTGCGCCAGGGTCTGCAGCAAACGTGACCTAGCCGGGCGTTTGCTTCCAGAAAAGGAAGATCTGGCCGAAAGTCGGCCATCGGCGCGAGGACGTCGTGGACACGAGAAAAGGGACAGTCATCCAGCGAATTCTCCATTCAATTATGTGATGAAACCAAAACCATTTACGGTAATGTGCGACGAGGAGCGCTTCAGCCGCAAGCATATGCAATATAAGCCAGTCTGTGAACCGCCCGTAAATAATACGGATTATGCAATGCATCCCTTGTGGCGGGGCATACAGCTGGTGGATGCTTCAGATCCGAATGCTGTTGACTTCAAGGGCAACTATAAGCTGTTCACCTACCATATGGATTCCACGTCGAACACACTGATGCCGGACATTCCCTTTCGGTCCAGGCAGTTCTCCAGTCGGCGCAACATGCTCGCGATCATAGACGACGTCGAGAGCAGCGCCGTAGCGTTCCGCCATCTGCAGTCGGCCAGGAACAACGAGCTGGACGAGGACTCGGACATGGCAGAGTCGATAATGTTCGAACGGCCCATTAATAACATGAACATCTCGGATATGTCTTCCGAGTCGGACGAGCTGGGCGGGCGGACCAGCAGGGCCATTAAGGTGGAGCAATGGAATATCGCCGACGAGAGCTCTGTCAGCAAGTTGGAGGCCTGGCAACACGCCTTCGTGAGCCGCATCCTCAAGGCTAAGTCAGCGGTCGAACCGGTTAAAGTGAAGTCTGAACCAACGGACGATTGTGATA